CCAGCCGGTGCTGCCCGGCCGTCATTTTGCGAGGTGAGGTCAGGCCCAGGTGCCGGCAGAGAAGATGGAGCGGCCGTGCCCGGGGGTCCCTGCTGCCCCCACCCAGGGCCGCTCGGCCTTTGGTGAGAAAACACGTGAGAAACGGAAAAAATCCCGCCCGGGGCAGCGCCCCGAGAGCACCGGCTGCGTCGTGGAGTCCTCCCGGTTCGGTTTCCGGGCCGGACAGCGATGTCGGCCGGAGCCCGGAGCCTTCCTGGGACATGACGAGGGGGGAAACCTTCATCCCAAGGAGTTCAACGGCACGTGCCGGTAACGGCACGACCACGCGCCATCGACAGAAGCGCGCGCTCGTCAGCGACCCGAGTATCTCGGAAAAACACAGCGGGGTTTAGGAGGAGGAGGAGGAGGAAGATGGGACCCAACGCCTCCCGTCAGCCCGCAGAGCGCGGCCGGGGCACCGGGAGCCGGGATGGAGGTCGGTCCAAGCCGTGACACCGTACGCACCTTCCCGAGACGGACCTGCAGCACCTCCGTACGGAGCTGCCGCAGCCGGGATCGGGGGTCCCCTCTGCTGGGTGCCCCCCGTTATCTCCCTGCGCTTGGAAGGGAGCGACGCTGAAGTGCCTACACAAGATACCACTGCTTCGCAGGAAAAACCCACCAAAACCTGCCAAAACCCTTCTGTAGGACCACGACACGAAGTCTGGAACTCGGAAATAAAAGTTTGCCCCAAAAAGCTCTGCAATCAAACCTCATCCTGCGCTCCCGCTGCGACGGAGGAGGAGGCAGGACCAGGACCACCTGCTACGAGCCTGATGGTGCTTCACCAAAGGGTTTCCCCGAACCCACACGATTTCTGTTTTGCAAGATACGTCATGATGTTCCTGACAGCTCCGTTATACGACACTGGCCTAATAAAAGCTGCATTAGAACCCACTACATTCAGGGTTTAAAAATCATGGTTCCACAAAAGAATTGAATAGATCTATTCCGGACCATCCACCTACACCAACTTTGATTCTGTCATGAGACCTTGCAGAGGAAAGTCCTTCTTGAAAAGGGGAGATATTAAGTATTTTTTAAAGCAACACGTATTGACCGCAGCGACAAAAGTCGACTCATGTTCGGTGTTACAGGATTTACATCCTCAGCAGCGCGACCAACGGCGTAGCAGACGAGCTGGCACAAGACTGAACTCCAGAAATGTAGACCAGGATTCTGCAAAACAATCTTCCTTCAAAAAGGAGCCCTGCTTTGCTCTTTTGTTAGCCTGTGTGTAAAGCAAAAAATTCAAAGCAGATGTTTCAAAATGAGAGAGACAATGGGAACATCATCACTTTCAGAAAAATACTGCCACCAGCAGTTAATAATTTGGGATAACTGCCCTGATACGGTGACCTTCATCCTCTGAAGCCATCAGGCATATCCTTTAGCTAAATAAAGACATAGTTCTATTATTCTCCCTTCAGCTTTCGTAAGTGTTGCCGTCTCAACCATTTGGACTCTACGCTAGAAGATGAAAGCGGAGTCACTGCCCAGTTCCGTGCACCCTTTTGAGCAGTCCCAGCCATACAACACAATTTACCAGAGACCTTGCAGAAAGTTCGTGCGAGGAATCAAACGCAGACCTCCTAAGTCGCTACGTACCCTAAAAAAGCAGCCACGCTTCCTCCAGTGTCCTCTGCTAAAGCCTCAGAGCAGGAGGACAGATGCATCACACCGTTCACGCGTTTTTCTCAGTGTCTCGGAGCATCCTGTCGCAACTCAGAGCACAACAACTATTCCAGAAAAAAAAAAAAACAATCCAAACCAAAAAGCCAGTTTTCTATACAGGACAATGCATTTATTAGAGGGTCAGGTGGCCAAACCCAGCCTTGAAGGTCTGCTTCTACTTAGCTGGGCCAGAGGAAGATTAAATTTTTGCCTTGAAGATGATACATCTGAGGTCTACGGTATCTCGAGGTGGACTCAACTCTTCTAACAGACCCACCTTCCTGCGAGACAGAAGTTTCAATGAAGTATGACCGAGGAAGACAAAGTTTAAACTTAACACTGGCAAGAGGAAAAGAGACACCCAGGAGCTACTGGCTCTGGCAGAAGGTTTAATTGCAGAGGACTCGTGCTGCAGCTCACAGAGAGCTTCATGACGTTAACGAAAGGGCTGCCGTATTGCAACAAGCAATCCTGGGGTTTGCTCACACTGCTCCAGAGGCATTGCACAAAAAATAAGCTGCCTTTTACACACCAGTTCTCATCCGTGCTCTAAAATGCCCTTTCGATCCCTCTTGGAAAAAAAAAAAAAAAGGAAAAAAATTAAAATCAATGCGATGCTCACTTGGTTAAAGTTACCGAATTGCTGACCCGAAACACGGAAGCCCCATCCTGCGGTATCCCAACAGATCCTGCCCATCCCGAAGGAAACATCACCACTGTGATTC